ACGTGACTGCAGTTCGGAAGAGTTTAGCAAATCAAGAGAATGGAGGAGCAGTAGTACTGAGGATAAAAACGGTTCTCTTGCAAGTAGCTTTTTTTATGTTTTTGCAAAGTTTATGCAAATGCGAAAACGCTTTTTGACGAGAGCTTGTCGTTGTGTGAGTTTACATATGCCCACACTTCTGTTACCCACTTTCAGCTCGGTAACCGATGAAGCCAAGAAACTGAAATTTTTCGAGCATTTTCCCATTCCGTGTGCGATACTCGTTTTCAAAATCATCGCTCACGCACGTTTGGGTCGCACCTACAGTCCCGTAAAATAATCCTGTTAATTTTTTAGCAGGAAGAGAATTCTCGGAACTAGAAAAGATAAGAGAGCCGAAATTTCTCAGGAATATTCTGAGCCCTTATGTGAGCTAACGACCCTAAATTCAGCTCAAAAGTACGCCTACGCCAAGCGTACAAACATGTCTAAAGTTGCAATTTCGCAGAAGCTGGCAGACAGCTAACTCGATATTCAGCTTGATTAAGTTCCTCTAATTTTACGAAATTATTTACTGACTAAGTGCGAGTTCACAGATGTGAAATGAGCAATAGCATGCGCATATAACACGCGTGCTGCAATAACGAACTATTCTTGACAGGAAACGATTTTGAGAGCTAACTGAGTAAGATGGCTAGGATTTTCTGAGGATATGACGATGTTTGCGAATACAAACAATCTTACTACAGCATGAAATTGTGCAAAAGCGCATGGTCGCACCCGCAAGCCCGCTGCGCGCTACAGTTGGTTACTGCAGCAGAAGTACCATGTGAGCCTATGCAAAATAATGACAAAAATAGAAATGTTGTCCTTTGGTCCGTACAAAAATAGTAGAAATGTTATCCTTTCCAAAGTTGCGAAATTTCCTGCTAAAGCCTTGTACAATAAATATCCTTCCAAAATCAACCAACACAATTTTCTGGCTTTTGAGTGAAGTCTGGTAGAGTCAAAAATTTATGTCGTCGTGCGTGAGACCTCAGCATATTTGGGGATTAAATTTGAGTTTGTGT